CTATATTAATTAAAAATAAACCAATTAATAATGAGCCAAAGACATGAAGAGGTATTTCATCAAGGAGGATGTACAAATGCCAAGTAAGCATATGTAAAGATATTAAACATCACTAGCCATCAGGGAAATGCAAATTAAGGCCATGATGAGTTGTCACTACACCCCTATCAGAATGGCTTAAATAAAAATAATGACAATACCAAATGAGAGTGAGGATGTGGAGAAACTAGATCTTTCATACATTGTTGGTGAGAATGTAAAATGGTACAGCCACTCTGGAAAGTAACTTTCCAGTTTCTTTACTGAATATGAATATGATCTAGCACTCATGCTCCTGGGCACTTATCCCACAAAAATAAAATATTAGTACACAATTGGTCATAGCAGCTTACTTATAATATAATAGCCAAAAACAGGAGATGGAGATAACCAAAATGTACTACAACAGGTCAATGGTTAAGCAAACTGTAATATATCCACGGAATACCACTCAGCAATAAAAAGGAACAAACTATCAATATACGCAAGAACTTGGATGGATCTCAAGGGCATTATTTTGAGTGAAAAAACCCAGTATCAAAAAGTCATATACTGTGTGACTGTATTTATGTAAAATTCTTCAAATGACAAAACTACAGAGAGAGACAGAACAGACTAATTGTTTCCTGGGGTTAGGGAAGGTAACAAAAGAGAGACAGGTGTAGAAGCTCTTTGTAGTGATGGAATAGTTCTCTATTTTGACTGAGGTGGTGGTTACAGGAATCTACACATGTGATAAAATGGCAGAACTACACACACTTTATACCAATATCGATTTCCTGGATTTTCTACTGTATAATAATTATATGAGATGTAACTAATGGGAGAAACTTGGTGAAGGGAATATGGGACCTGTTAGTAAGTACCATCTTTGCAACTTTCTTTGAATCCATAATTATTTCAAAATAATTAGAAAGTAACTATCAAAATTTAAATGTTAAAGTCTGTTCATATCATTATTTATTTTTTTCAGCAAACATTATTATGAGCCCCTAGCACCAAGTTCTCTGCTAGGTGCAGGAGATGGCAATGAAAAACAACTCATGACTTCAAAGAGCTTCCAGTTCAGTGGTAGAAGGATAACTCAGATGATATATTAATAACACAGGCAAGTAATATCATTCTGTACTCTAGAGAATAAATTCTGCTCAGTAGGACCAATACCTGCATCAAGCTGCTGCTCCCCGTTCATATCCACAGCATATGGGCTATCTCCTCCCAGTACAAAGGAAAGGACTATGGTTCTGCTACGATCTGAAGATTACTTGCAGGTTTCAAGTATCTGTTCAATGGGCATCCAAGGATCCAAATGAAAGTGCTGAAAAATCAAAAAGAATACATCAACAGCCTGAAGTGCAAGAATGTTTACTCATAAAAGATGGCACTTGGCTGAGTCAAGAGATGTGATAAAACAAAAACAGACAGACTAGATGGGATACAAGGAAAAAACTGACATCATTTCTAATTTCTTTTTAAGAGATGGGGGTTTTAACTGTGTTGCCCAGGCTGGCCTCAACACTCCTGCCTCAGTCTCCTGAGTACAGGAGGGACTACAGGTGTACACACTACACCTGGTGCACACACTATATCTGACTTACCTTTACTAATTTTGAAAATTCTGTCCATGCATGTGTGTGTGTACCTGTGTGTGTGTAGAGTAAGTGCTATCAAGATCTTGATAAGGAACCTAAAAAAAATCACAATAAATTAACATATACGTGCATCATTACCCTTTAAACTTAAGATTACTATACTTACCATAATTCTTATCCACAAAAATTTCAATTCCTAATGGTTTCCTGGGAGAGAAGGGTCAGCTTTCAATGTTCCTCCTTACTCAATGACTATGGGTCAGGATACAGTATATTACTTTATTTAGTTTTCCATTTCATCTATCTAGAATATTATGCAGAACCAAATATATCAACTATATTAGTCAACGATTATATTAACTTTAAAAAAAAACCCTCCAAAATAAGCTCTGAACTCATTTATTCTTTATTGGGATACAAATCACATACCAAAATTTCTCATTTTAAGTGTACAAATTAGTAATTTTTAGTAAACTTACAGAGTTGTATAACCATCACCATAATTGAATTTTAGAATATTTCTATCACCCTCAAAAGAAACCTCATGCCCCCTCGCAGTTCCTCCCCATTCCATCCCTATGCCCAAGCAACCAGTAACCTGCTTTCTATCTTTAGAGAGTTTGTCTTTCCCGGACATTTCACATAAATGGAATCATACAATGTGGTCTTCTGTGTCTGGTTTATTTCACTTAGCATATTTTTAAGGTTCATCCATGTTGCAGCATGAATTAATCTTTTTTTTCTTCCTTTACATACCTATAAAACAATCTAAGGTATTATTTTAGTATGTGCCAAATAGATTAAAAGAATAAATGAAAGAGGGAAAGGAACTGCTATAGGAAGGCAGAGCATAAACTAACTGCAAGGGCAACAGAAAACTACAGAAGTGTGATTAGGTACTTAATAGCACAATTTTGGGGGTGATATTCTGCAACTCTATACCTCCCAAAAAGTTTTGGGTATGTATTAGAGTCCCTAGTAACTGAGTCTCATAAACAATTTTTTTTTGAAAATTTTTTTATTTCAGCATATTATGGGGGTACAAATGTTTAGGTTACGTATATTGTCCTTGTCCCCTCCTCCCCATAAACAATTTTAATCATTTAGAAAAGGCTAGCTTAAATTTTAATATATTCTTTGAAAAGGTATCAACTACCTAAAGTACAACAGCTTCAAATGGGAAATAGGGATACCTAGGTTCTAATTCCAGCTCTACTGATAACTATGCAGTATTATATATTACCATATTATATCAATTTTTACCTGTAAAATGAAGTAAGGTCTTCTTCAGATTGTAAAATTTTATTTCATAATGAGCATAGAGAATTTTTAATAATTGTCAAAATTACAGATGTCCCATTTGCAATAACTGTCAGTTTTCCCAAATCGTTATCATACAATATAAGCACTGAAACCCACACTTTCACAGATAGTAACAAATGAATAGAAACTTCAGGTAAGGTGACATGGCACATGCCTGTAATTCCACATTTTAGGAGGCCAAGGTGGGAGGATTACTTGAGGCCAGGAGTTCAAGACCAGCTGGGCAACATTGTGAGATCTTGTCTCTACAAAAAATTAAAAAATTAGCCAGGTATGGTGGCAGGTGCCTATATAGTCCTGGCTACTCCAGAGGCTGAGGCAGGAGGATCACTTCAGCCCACGCATTCAAGGTTACAGTGAGTGAGCTATGATTGTGCTACTGCATTCTAGTCTGGGTAAAAGAGCAAGACCCTGTTGAAAGAAAAGAAAAAAAAAAAAAAAGGAAAGAAGGAAAGAAAGAGAGGGCGAGAGGAAGAGAGGAAGAAAGAAAAGAAACTTGAGAGTGACATTTAAATGTGCTCTCTTCCCTCAGTTTACTTTGCTATCCCAAGCCCAAAACATTCAAACTGTACGATTCCACCTACTAATTCATTCACTCCCCATGTATTTATCAAACACCAGCTCATGACCATCCACTATTTTAGGGGATAGGGGTAAAGCAATCAAGAGAGGCATGAGTTCTGCTTTCATGAAGCTTATTTTCAACTGGGGAGAGACAAATTAAGACAACAATTTAAAATAATTATTTAAAGTGCTATGAAGGAAAAGTACTAGGTAGGTGCTATGACAACCTAAAGGCAGGTCTAACTAACCTAAACTGAGAGGTCACTGACAGTGTCCCTGAGAAAATGATATTCAAGCTGAAAGTAAAGGGGAAATAAGAGTAATGAAAACAGAGGATAAAAGAGAGAATATCCAGACATAGGAAATAGCATACACGAAGGCTCTGAGGTGGAAAGGAAGTGAAGGCCACTGTGGCTGGAGCATGTGAACCAATACTGGTACAGAACAGATTGGGTGGGAAGAGAAGGAATAACAGGAGCTAATAATTACTAAGGATTTTACTACATGTTGGGCACTATTCTAAGCACGGAAACATATTAACCCACTTAAGAGCCCAAACAACTCCACAAAGTGACCATGATCATCCTAAGGACACAGGCACAGAATAATTACCTGACTTGCCTGGGGGCCCACAGCTAATAAGTAACAGAACTAGGTTTTGAACCAAGCAAAATGTCTATATTCTATGTCCTCAAACACTGTATTACATTATCCTACCTTTCCATCGGAAGCAACTGTGTGGGACTTTTTAAGCACGAGAAGGAAATGATCAAATCTGTGTTTTCAAAGAGATCACTCTGGACCCAAACAAAGAAATCATAAAGGAGTGACAGCAAAGAAAACAGAAGAGTGTAAAACTTCTACATGGCAAAAGACAACATAAATTAAATGAGACAAATGAGATGGGTGAAAATATTTGTAACATATAAAAGATAACAGGTTAATTTCCATATACAAGTTCCTGTAATTCAATAAGGAAAAAAATTAAAATGGGCAAAATATGTAATTAACCACATTTAAAAAGTCAGAGCTTATACTCATAAAATGTGCTCAATCTTAATAGTAATAAAGAAAACAAATTTTTTTTTTTTTTTGGACACAGAGTCTTAGTCTGTTGCCCAGGTGACAGTAGAGCAGCGTCATCATAACTCACGTAGCAACCTCAAACTCTAGGGCTCAAGCAATCCTGCTGCCTTAGCCACCAGAGTCCCTGGGTCTACGGGTATGTGCCACCACGCTCAGCTAATTTTTTCTATTTTATTTTTTTGGAGACAGGGTCTCGCTGTTGCTCAGGCTGGTTTCAAGCTCCTAGCCTCAACTGATTATCCCGCCTCAGCTTCCCAAAGTGCTAGCATTATAGGCGTGAACTACCGCGCCCGGCCAAACATTTTTAATTACATACTTTTTTTTTTTTTTTAACCTTTCAGATTGGTAAAATTTTTGTAACGAAAAATATCCGGTGTTGACAAGGAAGGCAGAAGAATGACAGAACTTGGGAGTATAGACTGGTCCTGAATCCACACACATGTACAAGGCTACATACGCAAATAAAGGACAATATTATGTATATTAACTTTTTAAAATCCCATGTCCACTGTTTACTTGGCCATGTGCTTTTGAAAAATGAATTTGTGCCAACTGTATAATTTGTAAAAGAGAGATTAACAGTACTGTACCTACCTCACAGGACTGCTATGAGGATTAAGAAAAATAATCTATAAACAGCACTCAGCATAGAACTGGCTATGTAGTAAATGCTGAGTTAATGTTAACTGTTATGCAATGTTGACCGGTTCAAGTTCCTTTGGCACTTACTTTACTTACTTATCTACTTATTTATTTATGTATTTTACTTTATTTTTTAAGACACGATCTCACTCTGTTGCCTAGGCTAGAGTGCAGTGGCGTCATCAAAGCTCACTGCAACTTCAAACTCCTAGGCTCAAGCTATCCGCTTGCCTCAGCCTCTCCAATAGCTGGGACTACAGGCACATGCTACCACATCCAGCTAATTTTTCTGCTCTCTGTAGAGACAGGGTCTCATTATGTTGCTCAGGCTGGTCTTGACTTCCTGGCCTCAAGCAATCCTCCTACCTCAGCCTCCCAAAGTGCTGGCATTACAGGCATGAGCCACTGAGCCCAGCCCCTATGGCATTAATTTAGTGGATCATCTCTACACATGAAGTCTTGACACTCTAACATGGGTTTGATGGAACAAAGCCAATGCTAAACAAATATCTGTTGGTTCACTAGGCTTTAAAGATGTCATCTACTGTTTATGTTCATAAACTTTTGCAAAATGCTAGAGTATTTTGTACAGAGAGTCACATGATGTAAATATATAATAATAAAAGTAACAAATGAACCTTCAAAGCCAAAAGACATGATGTGGCAGAAATACAAGTCTTATGTAGTGAAAAACTAAGGCTGTGACATTTTTTAAATCTTACATCATCACTTAGATTTTAGCCAATGAGCAAATGAGTTCATCATCTTAATAGGATCATGAGAAATAAGCTAAAGTCTTGCTGTGGAACATCAGTTAGCGCTCTCTCTCTTTATTGCTAGCCTGCTCTCTTTTTATGTGAAGAAAAAAACAATAAAATATCCGAGGGCTTAGTATATCAAAATATAATTCACTTTTCACTTATTTATTTCCTGTTCATATTAAATTGTTTTACTATCTTCATTCATTTTATCATTGATTTTGGTATTATCATTCCCCTTGTAGTGACCAGAACACGTTAAGAGTTATTTATTTAAACAAGTTCTCATGAACTAAGTGATCTGGACCTTGCTCATCTTATATAATATTTTAGTAAATTAAATAGGTGCCTAG